AAAAAAAAAAAAAAAAAAAAAAAAACAAAAAACAAAAAACAAAAAAACAAAAAACAAATAAAATATGTGAGTCAGGTAGTGGTGGTGCATGCTTTTAATCCCAGTACTTGGATGGCAGAGGCAGTCAGATATCAGTGAGTTCAAGGCCAGCCTGGTCTATAGAAACTCTGTCTCGAAATAAACAAACAAAACAACCAAAAAAAAAAAAAAAAAAAGAAAAGAAAAGAAAAGAAAAGAAAATGTAGTATCATTGTAACAACATAAAAATATAGAAGGGGCAAATGTTAAGGTAATCCTATAAAATGCTGAGGATTATTTGAAAGCAATAGAATGATAAACTTTAAAAATAAAAATCTCTAGGATATTAAGGAGATACAACGGTACCTGTGTGCAGTGGTAGTGTGCGGAGCTCTTCCATTTAAAAACTGAGGAGCAAACTTAGGTTCAAAAAATTTTTTTATCATATGAAATTAATTACAAAGAAATGGAAATTTAATCCAGGGTTCCAAATGGGGCATCATTAAATGAACAAACACTGCAACTAATCCTAGGTATCATTAGAAATGTCCAAAGTTTGTTGTTAAGCTAATTATAAACCACACTCTCCCCTGAAAAACACAATATATCCCTTCATAGTTAAATTTGTAGAATGTGTTCCAGAAGTCACATACAATCTATCATGCAGCTTCTTCAAAGTGTGTTCCAAGTTTAGCCATGAATTCCTAGAGATCCCACCCTGCCTCAGCAATAGGAGTTAGGTATTTCCAATGGTGGCAACTATGTGTTTCTCGCAAGTATTTCCTAAAAGTTCTTCTTCAGATTAGTAATCATTTTACCTTCTTTATGTTGAATCAACAAAGTAGAAAGGAAACAGTGAATTTAATCACAACTCTATAGATTAATGTTATCTATAACCCAACAGTACAAATAAATAATTAATAAAAATTACCCTTTCTGACAATTCTGACAACATAGAGAGAGCTTACATTTCAGATAGTTAAGGGATAATATAAAGTGGTCTATATACATAAGCTTTTAACTGCTTGCAGTTTTCAGCTGAAGTGGGTAACAATGGAAGAGTTCTTAAAGGACAAAGGCATACTGCCTTCATGAGCACAGAGCACATCTCTGTGAAACTCTGAAGCAGAGCTGTAATTAGGTCATGTGAAACATTTCAATACATTGTTCAGTCTCAAGTACACACTAGCTCTCCCTTCCGAGTCAAAGATAAAAAGGAAGTTGCCTTTCTCTTTCTTGTTGCAAAGATAAACTGTTACTATTTTCAGATTATAAGCCAGTAATAACCTTCAAATAAAGTCAAAACTGATACAAAAAAGGAAACTAAATTAAAAAGAAACTGTGAATAAAAGTACTTCTTCTGTAATCTTGTGTATATTACTGCTATGAAAGAACCACAAAAGAAATAAGCAACAGCCTAATACACAAACACTATTTTGATAACAGTTAAAAAAATAAGTTACTTTCAAAAATGATTTCAGAAAGACCATGATATAAAGGAATCAGGAAAAGACTATTTTTTCTATTCCTTATTCCAGAATTGAAACTAGTCAACCACCCCAGCTACAGGTGAATACGTTTATTGTAGAAAAGATTGCTCAGCCTGCTGAGGCACTTGTGCACAGGCTGGAATCCCTGGGTTTGACCCCCAATCCAACACAGCAGCAGAAGAGACCCTGTATACACACACACACACACACACACACACACACACACACACACACACACACAAACTCAAGACATGGCTTCTATTCCCTTTAATATTAATTTTTTTTTAGCTGATCTCTGAGGTTAGCTTGGGAAAGAAAGGAGAAAAAAAGTTACACAGGAAATCCTTCATCCAGCTTCTTCTCTTGAGTAGTGGTTCTTGCTGAGTGTGGATACCTGGGTAGCCTACACTTCCACCAGATAGGAAGCTCTGCTTACAAAGCAAGTGTGTTTGTTCTGCTGGCCAGATCATCTGCCACGAGAAGGACCTGTAGCCTTCTCCAGTGTACTGCCATTTTCTCTTCAGTTACTCAGAAGCAGGCACATGTACATTTTATAATGCATATTTTACAGAGGCCTAATCATCACCAGTGTTTTTGAATTAAAAAAAAAATCATGGCTTCCATGGAAATTATATGCTCATTTAACTCTTCAATTCTTATGTTTCTCTGTTGGACTAAACACCAGGAGGGCAGGCAGCCTACTTTTATTCTTCACTGATACTCACTCTCCTAGAACACTGCCCACCAAAGCAGATGGTTTTGTTGGATCATGAGAATAAGAAGTAGATTAAAAAACAAACAAAAATGATGATGACTCCCAACTCATCTGATTCATTTATTATTGGAATTAGAATAATAGCACTAAGGCAACTTGGACTAAATTAAGATGTGCCATAATTTACAGGACATGTCACACACTATCTATGCCATAAAATGAAGAGAAACCTTAGCTCAAGTACAACATTTAAAATTATCTAAATCAGTTATGTTCTTCAGTAAGAAACCAGTCAAAATATATAAACTATATGTCCCAACTTTGGAAAAATGTTAAAAATAAATTGTTAAATTTAAAAAACTTGAGAACCAGGTGTGGTGGTAGACACTGTTAATACCAACACTTAGAGGGCAGAGGCAGGAAAACCTGTGGAAGGTAGTCTGGTCTACACAGCGAGGTCCAGGACAGCTAGGGCTACACAGAGAGACCCTGTCTCAAAGTGGGGAAAAAGATTTTATTAAACTGAATTTAAAATGATTTTACTCACATCAAAACTGAGTATATATGCTTGCTTATATCTGAGAGCATAAAAAACTGTTACCATTTGGTGAATCGAGTCAGGAAAGTGACTTTTTGTTTGTTTTTACACTTTCAAGTGTATTTATTTATTATAATTCAGAATTGCGAACCCAGGCCATGCCTTCCAGAAGAGCAGGCAGGCCAGTCTCCCACTGACCGTCCCCACTCTTTCTGTTCCCTCTGCTCTCTAGCCTCCCACAGGCACAGTCCTCAGGCGTCTCCACCACCCTCTCCATTGTGCCCCACCCCCACTGCAGTAGCTCAGGCAGGCTGCTGCCAGAGGACCTCCGCCACTTTCTTGGTGCCCCCCCCCCCCCACTTCCAATACCCCTCTGCTCCTTGTCTCCATGGCCTAACAATCAACTTGGGTGGTGAGTCCCTGCTGGACCAGAGGGTGCACTGGCCAGCAGAATTCCGGTAGGCCTCCTCCATTCTCTAGGTGCCCCCTCCCCCTGGCCCCCGACTCTATTCCTAGGAAATCTGAGACACTATGAAAAGACCAAACCTAAGAATAATAGGACTAGAAGAAGAAACCCAGCTCAAAGGCCCAGAAAATATTTTCAACAAAATTATAGAAGAAAATTTCCCTAATCTAAAGAAGGAGATGCCTATAAAGGTACAAGAAGCTTACAGACCATCAAATAGACTGGACCAGAAAAGGAAGATCTCTCACCACGTAATAATCAAAACACTAAATATACAGAACAAAGAAAGACTATTGAAAACTGCAAGGAAAAAAAAGCAAGTATGAAGGCAGACCTATTAGAATTACACCTGACTTCTCAGTGGAGACTCTAAAAGAAAGAAGAGCCTGGACAGATGTCTCGTAGACACTAGGAAACCGCAGATGCCAGCCCAGTGTGGTGATATATTGTGTACCCCAATAAAGCTTACCTGGGGATCAGAGGACAGAGCCAGCCACTAAATTAGACATAGAGGTCAGGCAGTGGTGGCACACACCTTTAATTCTATCACTCGGAAGGCAGAGATCTGTCTGGATCTTTGTGAGTTCAAGGCCACACTGGGCTACATGAGAGAAACAGAACCAGGTAGTGGTGACACACACCTTTAATCCCAGGAAGTAATATAGCAGTACACAGAAAGGTATATAAGGCATGAGGAAACAGGAATTCACTCTCTTGAGGCTGAGGATTTCATAGAGGTAAGAACTAGTGGCTGGCTGTTCTGCTTCTCTGATCCCCAGGAAAGCTTTATTGGTTTACATATATCACCACAGTCCAGACTACTATACCCAGCAAAACTTTCATTCACCACAGAGGGAGAAAACAAGATATTCCACAATAAAGTCAAATTTAAACAATGTCTATCTACAAATCCAGCCACACAGAAGGTACTAGAAGGAAAACTCTTACCCAAGGAGGTTAACAATATCCATGAAAGTAGAGGAAATAAATAATTTTACACTAGCAAAACTAAAAGAGAATTTGCACACACACTCCCACCACCACCATCACTGCCACTGCCACCGCGCCACTATCACTGCCACCGCCTCTACCACCACCATCACTGACAACAACAACAACATAACAGGACTAACAATCATTGATCCCTCAGTATCAATGGACTCAATTCCTCAATAAAAAAACACAGACTAACAGGATGAAAACAGGATCCATCCTTCTGCTGCATACAAGAAACACACATCAACATCAAAGATAGACATTACCTCAGAGTAAAGGATTGAAAAAGATTTTTCAAGCAAATGGACCAAGAAAGCAAGCTGGTATAGCCATTTTTATGTCTAAAAAAAAAAAAAAGTAGACTTCCAACCAAAATTAATCAAAAGAGATGGGAAAGGACACTTCATATTCATCAAAGGAAAAATCCAGTAAGATGTTTCAATTCATAACATCTATACCCCAAATGCAAGGGCACCCACATTTGTAAAAGAAACATTACTAAGGCTTAAGTCACACATCAACCCTCAGACATTGATAGTAGGAGACGTCAAAATCCCACTCTCACAAATGGACAGGCCATCCAGACAAAAACTAAACATAGAAATAATGGAGCTAACTGATGTTATAAATCATATGCACCTAACAGATATCTACAGAACATTTCACCCAAACACAAAAGAATATACCATTTTCTCAGCACCTCATGGAACCTTCTCCAAAATTAACCACATACTCAGTTACAAAGCAAGTCTCAACAGAAGAAAAGTGAAATAACCCCTGCATGCTATCAGACCAATGTGGATTAAAATTGGATTTCAACAACAACAGAAAAAAACAGAAAGCTTACAAACACATGGAAATTGAACAACTATCTACTTAATGACTACTAGGTCAAGACAGAAATAAAGAAATTAAAGACTTCCTAGAATTTAATGAAAAGGAATGCACAACATACCAAACTTATGGACAAAGCTAAGAGGAAAGTTCATAGCACTAAGTGCCTGCATAAAGAAATTAGAGCAATCTCACACTGGCAACTGAACAGCACACCTGAAAGCTCTACAACAAAAAGAAGTATGCCCATCCAAGTGGAATAGAGGGCAAGAAATAATCAAACTGAGGGCTGAAATCAATAAAATTGAAACAAAGAGAACAATACAAAGGATCAATGAAACAAAAAGCTGGTTCTTTGAGAAAATCAACAAGACAGATAAACCCTTATCTAAACTAACTAAAAGACAGACTATCCAAATTAACAAAAAGTTCATAAATCTTTGAGGATTCATGAGAAAAATAAAATAATGATTACATGATATGCACACAAGCCAATAGTTCCTGTTAAAACCAAGTTAACACTAAACACTGAGGAATCAGATTCATTTGGAGAGGAAAATATTTACTGTGGTTTAATTTATTTAAGAATTATCTATGGTTTCCTACTTCATGCAAGCAGTGTTAGGCACTGTAATTCTGTGTTGAAAAAAAGCAGATTATACTTCTAGCCTTAATCTAACAGAAAAACACAATAAAAGAGAAAGCAAAATCATTTACAGCATGTGGTAAGACTTATGTGAAATAATGAGGGGAAGAAGTTTCAGATAGATGGGAAGAACAGGTTTTGAAATCTACAGGACAGCAGAATAACTGTTCTCAACTTTATGGAGTATGTATTGAGTAACTTCAGATTTAATAACATAAACGTGACAGAAGGTTGGGACCGTAGCACAGTGGTAGATTGCATGTTGAGCATGCATGAGGCCCTGGGTTCCCTTGCCAGCACCCAAACTAGCCATGTTAACTGATTTGATTCAATCATTCCACAATGTGTATGTGTCAAAACATCATATTGTATGCCATGAATGTACACAGTTATAATGTGGGATCTTAATGGTTAGGCTCAAGTAGCAGGTTCTTAAGGCAGTTAAGGGAAGGGATGGGAGCTCAAGCCTCCCTCTGGTTTCCTGTTTATACTGTGATCCTTGCTTTTGTGCATTCTTTACTATTTATCATGGGCCCTTGCCAGAAACTGTTTGGATTTTCAGCCTCTGATACTATGAGCTAAGTAAATGTATATAAGTACAAATTTAATGTGATTGAAGTATTTTTATATGGTAAGACACCAAAAGGGACTAGTACAGTCACTAAATGGTTTTAAAACTATGATATCATTAAATAAAAGTCTCTGTCGTCTATGTAGAAAGTGGACTCTACAGTCGTCATAATGGAGGGCAGGTCGTCGTTAAGGGGTATGACAACAGCTGGGATGAAAAGCGAACACGCTGTGGTTAGAGCAGGAGTACAAACTGGGATGAACAGAGTCAGGTAATGTCTGCGAAGGTCAAAGGACCAGACTTCTTGACTGTCTGCATGTCATGTGCAATGATAAAGGAGGTATGAAGGATCAAGACTGTCTGCCACATTCACACTTGAGCCACTAGTAGATCAAAGTGATGCTACGGAGACAAGGGAAGCAAGCACGTGTCTGAAGGGAGGCAGGAGGCAAGTGTGTGAAGTACTGTGAGGCATTCGGGAAAGATGAGGAGAAATGGAAGACTGAGCAATGGGATTCCACGTCAAGTATAGCTCCATTCTACACGGAGAGACTGGCCTGATGCAGGGACAGGAAGAGGAAGTTGGTAGGTACAGACTCTCAGAGACATGGCACTGTAGCAAAAGAGGGACAGGGATGGCAGAGAGCGACAGGGGTTCAGTTGTTCCAGTTTCCTTTTGTGTTCAGGTGGGACTCAGCAAAACTTTTGTGTTGCCAAAGGCAACCTGTGAGAGAGGGAAAGACTAATAGAGAATGGAGCCATGAGGTTATCCCGGTAAGTGGTAACAGGAATTAAACACCAACACGTTTATTCACATGTTAGTAGACACATAAACATGTTAAAGGAAAGACTCAACATTCAGGTTTTCTAGATGTATTTTTATACTTACAGCTATGGATTAAGTACTGCTGAGGCTATTTAGCATACTGCAAAGATGACCACCAAACTGAGTTAAAGAAAAAAATTTAAGTAAAAAAAAAAAAAAAAAAAAAAAAAGTCAGCTTACCTCTCGTTTGTCTAATGCAGCATACTCAGCTTCTATTTCCTCAGCCTCCGGGTCACGAGAGAACACCATCTGAGACTCCAGACTGAGGGCCAGGTCTTTGTGGTGCTGCTTTTCGGCACAGTCACAAGGAGTGTCTTTATTTTCATTTTCAGCAAACAAGTCTCCTCCATGTTTTACTAAAAGCTAAAAGAGTTTTTTTAAAAAGATAAAAAACCAAAAAACCTCAAAACTACAGATTGGGTTAAGTTATTTTAATGCTACACATTAAAGAAATTAAATGTATGACTGTCATAACAAAAATGTACAGTAGATATATGTATCTAAATGTATTTTAATGTAAAATCAAATTAAAATGTAATTTAAAAATTTAAATTAAAATATAAATGTATTTTAAATAATAAAAAGGCATCAGGTAGCAATGACTTTTGATTTTTAAGGTTCAGAATTCTTGTTTTACTAATAAATGAGTTTCTTTGGCTAAAGAAAGTAAATCTTCAACTTTAAAAACAAATTCTTAAGTATTTTGTCAATTTCCCATACCTAAATAAAACTTTACTTAAATATAAAAAAAGATTATAGTTATTCAATGCTTAAACTTTAAAAATTTCTTATGATTTTTCTTTCTCTCTTTCCTTGACAAGAGCCTTAAATATAACCCAGGCTGGCATTGGACTCGGTCTTCCTATGCTGGTTCCAGAATGATGGGATTGTGTGTATGTGTGCCACCATATTTGGCCTATACATCTTTCTTAAGAGGGACACAGTTGCCATTAATTTAACCACTAATACCTGGATGTCCTGACATGACAGACAAAAGTTTTTACTTGTCCCAGCATTATTCTGTGAAACAATGAATTAACCTCACATTTCCAAGTAAAAAACAAAGCTGTTTTCAATATTTCTCAAAATAAGAGAGAACTGCTTACTGCGAAGTAAGATGAAGTAAGATATCCCCATATATAATTTGTCGAGAACTTTCGTGACTTGTTCACACTGACATTTTTGCTGGCTTTACCAGTTACATTTTTTCTAAGGGCTAAAAGTTCAAGACTGTCCACTGTGTCTTGAGACATCAGGAAGAACACAGGACAGCCCCACAGCTTGTCATAAACTTTCTTTTATAGGATTACAACCCTCAGAGCAATACAGTAAGTCACATAGTGTCTTCTAGTCAGACTCTCTATGCTAAGTACTTTAAGTATACATTCTTGCCTTACTATTAATGAGCTTGTGTGACACGGGCATTGTTATCTTAGCATTTACAGAATGTGACCCAAGTTCCCCAGGAGAGCGGTGTGACTGGATTCACACAGTTTGACTAACTTTTAATCATTTCTAGATCCTGAGCTAAGTCAGCCACACTGCTCACATAAAATGAAGACGTCAAGTTCTGCCCAGATTCTCATCTACTGTCTGATGTATGTTGTAGAGGCTTTTATTTTGTAAAAGGGTAATCCAAGTTGGTATTTCATCTAAATAATTTTATACTCTTCATTACCAACCAATGAAAAGTTCTTCGGGACTGAAATGTTTATTGTTCTCTCAGGTAAGGGGAATCTTCTAAAAGGAAATGCTGAAGTATGGTCTTTACTCAATGAGGGTTCAAAAGGTGTGTATGTAGAGGGACAGGTAAGCCACTGTTGAGAGGCATGCTGACCTTGTTGGAACAGAGACAAACAGACAGCTGTGCAAGAGGTCCCCAGGTGAGTTTGGTTCGAGTGGCTGAGGGAACCACTGTCACAGCTGGTGTAAGTAAGAACCTTGTAATCAGTGATAAAGGGAGACAGCCATGTTTGCAACAGGACGAAAATCTGCTGGTATGCCACCTTTAGCATGGAAAAATAGCTAAAAGTACTGTCAAACACTGGAAGGTAATGCATTAAAAAAGTACTTCAGCCCACTGGCCTTTGGGAAATAAGTTCAGGAAATGTACCAGGCAAAGTCATGCTGGGTGGAGATAAGATTTTTTTTTCTATACAAACTGAGTTGTTTTGCTTTGACATGATGGGGAGTTTGGTTTAGAAAAGGTAGTTTTCTAACCAAAGCACGGCAAGTATCTTCCTATGTATTCTCATTAGCTAAGCAAGAAGAAACAAGAGGACTGGGTTTTATTCATATGGTTTTTAAATGTCTCTTAAACACTTGTTGGCACATAAAATGATCTCAACAAATTGATTCTTCTAATTCTGCATTTTTTGGTTCACAATTTCAGAAGAAAAGGAGTAACCCAATATTCAAGACAAATTCCACACCTCCCTTTTGATTCAGGGGTATTGACTGGCCACATCATTTAACTACTTTAAATAAAGACTAAGTTTACAATGGTCTATCTGTTAAATAAGGTAGCTCGTATAATTTTAATAAAAGATGTAATAGAAAGTCAGCTAAGGTGGTATACAACTGTACTCCCAGGATTAAGGAGGTGGAAACAGGAGGATCAAGTTCAAGCTCAGCCTGAGCTACCCGAGACCTTCAAAAACCAAAAGCTAAACCAAATTGTCCTGGCTAGTTTTATGTCAACTTGACACAAGCTATCTGAAAGAAGGGAACATCAATAGAGAAAATGAGAAAAGGCCTCCATAAGATTCAGCTGCAGGGCATTTTCTTAATTAGTGATTGATGAGGGAGGGCCCAGCCTGTTATGGGTGTTTCCATCCCCAGGCTGATGGTTCTGGGTTCTACAAGAAAGCAGGCTGAGCAAGTCATGAGGAACAAGGCAGTAAGTAGCACCCTCCAAGGCCTCTGCATCAGCTCCTGTCTCCAGGTTCCTGCCTGACTTCCCCTCAGTGACGGACTATTGCCTGCAAGTGTAAGTGGAAAATAAGCCTTTTCCTCTCCAAGTTGCTTTTGGTCATGGTCTTTCTTTCCCTCCCTTCCTAACTTCCTTCCAGGTTTTTTCGAGGCTCCGCCTGCCTCTACCTCCCAAGTGCTAGGATTAAAGGCGTGCACCACCACCATCCGGTGGTCATGGTGTTTCATCACAGCAATAGTAACTGTAAGTAGCACATACACCAAACCACAAAGATGCAGTACAAATACCCTCTCAAGTCTCTGCTAATGCTAAGATTGCCCTTTGGCCATCTACAGCCTCAGTGACGCTGAGCACTCCACTCTCCCTCCAATTCCATTCTCATTTCCTATTTTAGCTCCTAGCACTGGGGACTCCTGCTTCTCTTCCAGTTACTTTCTTAATGCAGTTACAGGCTTGATGATCATAATGATGTCTTAGTCTGCATAATACAAAGGAATACCAGAGAAATTTAGCAATACTGAACAATTTCAATCATCTAGTGCATGTATCAAGCTTTTTTGTTGGTCACCAGCTCACAAATAATGACACAGAAACTTATTAAGAAAGCTTGACCTTTAACTTAGGGTTGTCTCAACTAGCTCTTATAACTTAAATTAACCCATTTATATTGATCTAGATTCTGCCACATGATGCAACCTCTCTTCCATCTTGTACCTCCTGCTTCCTCTCCGTGTCTGGCTGGCAACTCTGCTTTTCTTCTTCCCAGAGTTCTCTCCCTGTCTGGAAGTCTTGCCTGTACCTCCTGCCTAGGTATTGGCCGTTCAACTTTTTATTGCGCCAATCATAGCAATACATGTTCACACAGTGTACAAATATCCCTCAAAAAGTGCAGTGGTTTTCAACCTTCCAAATGCTTTGGTTCTTTAATACTGTTCTCACTCACATTGTGGTGACCTCAACCATAAAATTATATTCATTGCTACTTCATAACTGTAATTTTGCTACTGCTATGAATTGTAATGTAAATATGTTTTCCAATGGTCTTAGATAACCCTTGTAAAAGGGCCATTCAGTCCCCAAAGGGGTACGACCCATAGGTTGAGAGTGTCATTGTGGCCTTGTGAAGGTGGTAAAGCAATGTATAACTCACATGATGATGACAGTGTAAACAGACCAACTTCTTCACCAATTGCATACAACAGCATATATAATTATGCACACAAGGAATATAGCAGAATGTATCAGTCAAGTTTGTATACATACACGGTGATGTTCACACAATGGCAAAAGCACCTGACAACACATTTCTCAGATGGTATTCCCTATCATGAGTGACACAGAACTACACATGCTTTCTCAGTCACATTTCTTAAATTGTGGTTGATATCTCCCTGTAAAACAAGTCAACTACTGCCAGCAATCAGATCATTATCTGAATGGTTTTACAGAAATACCATCCCTCAAAGCCGTCACTCCAACCTACTAATCTTATTCCTCTGATTCCTTTACCTTTCTGTAACATGTCACATGACTGACCACTCTCTTTTCCTGGAAATTCTTCTCTTCGTATTCTTTGCCCAATATCACCTTAGCCCTCTTATTCCTCTACTTTTCCACTACATAATGGAGACACACAGAGTATTTTAAACCTTCAGGGATTTAAACTGCACTGGTGTGAGGTCTCTGGGAAGTCACAGTTGGAAGTACTGTTCCAGTACAGGGTTTTCAAACTATGGATGAATGATCTGGAAACCTTGATAGTCCCATTATGGACCTGGAATGGGCACTAATTCTACAGGTGATTTCAATGTGGACTGTTGTCTTAGGGTTTCTGCTGATGTGACAAAAACACTATGACCAAAGAGCAAGTAAGGGAGAAAAGGGTTTATGTGGCTTACATTTCAGCATTGCTGTTCATCACCGAAGTAAGTCAGGACAGGAACTCAAACAGGGTAGAATCCCGGAAGGAGGTGACAATGCAGAGGCCATGGAGGGGACCAGCAGCTCAGGGACGGCACCACCCACCACAGGCTGGGCCCTCCCCCACTGATCACTAATTGAGAAAATGCCTTCCAGCTGGATCTCACAGGCATTTCCTTAACTGAGGCTCCTTCCTCTGATGACTCTAACTTGTGTCAAGTTGGCACACAACCAGCCAGTTCAGCTGTGCTCAAAGCGAGCCTTCTCAATCTTTAATCTGAGTATGACTGACACTTGACAGTGACTGAGGTAAGAGTCCATTAAACTATAGATTCAGGTTCAGCTGGTCTGACTTCAAGCTGTAATTTCTGTATTTCCAGTAAGTTTTCAGAAGACTGATATAAACACTAGCTGGGGTCCTTTCGAAGTAACAAGGCAAGAAGCATTAGGCTAATAGATCTATATTTGCTTGCATAAGACTACTTCTCCATTTAAAATTTTTGAATAACTC